TACTGTTTTTCTTATACATTTTATTGTTGGATGTAACTGGGACCCTGCGTACATAATTTCGCTCCACCACATGTACCACATGAGGTGCGAATGACAATAAAGAAACTCTGACTCTGACTGACTCTGAACACCTAGAGAGCTGGTGCAGGAAGAACAACCTTCACATCATTGTGAAGAAGATGGTCGTGGACTTCAGACGGAATAAGCACCCCCCTGTCTGTTCATCACAATATTTTACTACAGAGGCTTGAATATGATATTGGGATTACAGGAACAGCTCTAAAATGGTTTAAATCATATCTATCTGATAGATTCCAGTTTGTAAATGTAAATTATAAATCTTCTTCATACACCAAAGGTAGTCATGGAGTTCCTCAGGGCTCAGTGCTTGGGCTAATACTCTTTACTTTATATATGCTTCCATTAGGTAACGTTATTAAACAGCATGGGATAAATTTTCATTGTTATGCTGAAGACACACAATTATATTTGTCCATTAAACCCAATGGGTCCAATCAGCTACTCTTAAAGACATAAAAACCTGGATGACCCTTAATTTTCTCCTTTTGAACACAGCAAGACCAAGATTTTGGTTTTTGGATCTGAGCACCTTAGAAATAAACTTTTTAGTTGTTCTCCCTCCTTAGATGGCATTAATCTGTCCTCCAGCTCTAATGTTAAAAATCTTGGTGTTATTTTTGATCAGGACACGTCTTTAATCCCCCACAAACCGACCACATCTTTTCACTCTGCTACTGTCTTTACTTACTCTGCTCAACCTGTTTTGTATTTGTAATTATTTGTTCTATCTTTAACATGTGTTTTTGTCTTTCAGGTACACCTGGACCAATATCTGGACCTACCACTCTGTGTTTGTCTGTCTCTCCTTCCTGTCCTCTCAACCAGCCGGTCAAAGCAGATGGTCTCTTGTCCTGATCCTGGTTCTGCTGGAGGTTTCTTCCTGTTAAAGGGAGTTTTTCTTTCCACTGTCTCCACTGTGCTTGCTCAGGATGGGAGACTGCAACGAAGCCAAGATTCAACTTGTCTGCTGGATTCCTTAGATAGAGAACTTTACTAATTGGCTTTTATGTATGTGAACGTTTCTGTAAAGTGCCCTGAGACAACTTTGTTGTGATTTGGAGCTTTATAAATAAACTGAACTTAATTGCTGGACCCGGTTCTGGAGGGCAGTCTGGGAGGCAGCTGCTGTGGTCCTTATCGTCATCATGCTGTTGAAGGGACCTGCTAACACTGCCAAGAACACCTTGCCGCTAACAGAACCTCACTGCTAACAGTATCGTGCTGCTAACTGGACCATGTTGCTAAAAGAACCTCACTGTCACCAGAACCACTCTGCCAATTGGAACAAGATGCTGTAGGTTTATTTATTTTCACTTTTGGTGCCTTGTTGCTGTATTTTTGTTAAAGTTTTTTTCAATAAACCTTTATTTAAATAGGTTAATCCCATTGAGCCTCGGGGACTCATTTACAAGAGACCTGGATTTTAACAAAGAATGATGACAACAGTGGACAACAATGACAAGAATAGACAATCACAAATTGTTCATACAAATTTACGTTTTTTTTGTTTTACAATTGAAAATAGAATGATAATTAAAAGGAGAAAGAAATGTAGCGAAAAACAGCTAGATTACGAGGCGGGGTAGAATACTAAAAACATGAACATGTCTGCGTTGGTTCTTGCCAAGAATTTTAATAAATTCTAATTTATATTAGTGCTCGCATTTAGCGTGTAAATTAAAACCGAACAGAACCTATAAGAATCGTGCTGCTGCTGTTCGGTGTATTGTTTTGTATTATTAGTGACTGGCATGTACAGGTCCTTCTCAAAAAATTAGCATATTGTGATAAAGGTCATTATTTTCCATAATGTAATGATAAAAATGAAATTTTCATATATTTCAGATTCATTGCACACCAACTGAAATATTTCAGGTCTTTAATTGTTTTAATACTGATGATTATGGCATACAGCTCATGAAAACCCAAAATGCCTGTCCCAAAAAATTAGCATATCATGAAAAGGTTCTCTAAACAAGCTATTAACCTAACCATCTGAATCAACGACGTAACTCTAAACACCTGCAAAAGATTCCTGAGGCTTTTAAAAACTCCCAGCCTTGTTCATTACTCAAAACCACAATCATGGGTAAGACTGACGACCTGACTGCTGTCCAGAAGGCCATCATTGACACCCTCAAGCAAGAAGGTAAGACACAGAAAGAAATTGCTGAACGAATAGTCTGTTCCCAGAGTGCTGTATCAAGGCACCTCAGTGGGAAGTCTGTGGGAAGGGAAAAGTGTGGCAGAAAACGCTGCACAACGAGAAGAGGTGACCGGACCCTGAGGAGGATTGTGGAGAAGGGCCGATTCCAGACCTTGGGGGACCTGCGGAAGCAGTGGACTGAGTCTGGAGTAGAAACATCCAGAGCCACCGTGCACAGGCGTGTGCAAGAAATGGGCTACAGGCGCCGCATTCCCCAGGTCAAGCCACTCTTGAACAAGAGACTGCGTCAGAAGCATCTCGCCTGGGACTGCTGCTGAGTGGTCCAAAGTTATGTTCTCTGATTACAGTAAATTTTGCATTTCCTTTAGAAATCAAGGTCCCAGAGTCTGGAGGAAGAGAGGAGACACAGAATTAACATTGCTTGAGGTCCAGTGTCAAGTTTCCACAGTCACTGGGGTGCCATGTCAGCTGCTGGTGTTCGTCCACTGTGTTTTATCAAGGGCAGGGTCAATGCAGCAGCTATCAGGAGATTTTGGAGCACTTCATGCTTCCATCTGCTGAAAATCTTTATGGAGATGAAGATTTCATTTTTCAGCACGACCTGGCACCTGCTCACAGTGCCAAAACCACTGGTAACTGGTTTACTGACCATGGTATTACTGTGCTCAATTGGCCTGCCAACTCTCCTGACCTGAACCCCATAGAGAACCTGTGGGATATTGTGAAGAGAAAGTTGAGAGACGCAGGACCCAACACTCTGGATGAGCTTAAGGCCGCTATCGAAGCATCCTGGGCCTCCATAACACCTCAGCAGTGCCACAGGCTGATTGCCTCCATGCCACGCCGCATTGAAGCAGTCATTCATGCAAAAGGATTCCTGACCAAGTACTGAGTGCATAACTGAACATGATTATTTGAAGGTTGGTGTTTTTTGTATTAAAAACACTTGTCTTTCATTGGTGGGATGAAATATGCTAATTTTTTGGGACAGGCATTTTGGGTTTTCATGAGCTGTATGCCATAATCATCAGTATTAAAACAATTAAAGACCTGAAATATTTCAGTTGGTGTGCAATGAATCTGAAATATATGAAAGTTTCATTTTTATCATTACATTATGGAAAATAATGACCTTTATCACAATATGCTAATTTTTTTAGAAGGACCTGTATCTTAGATCTTTTAGAGTACCATTGAGTGTTTGTTTAGCGAATACCTTACTTTACATCTCTGATCCTTATTTACTGTTCCTTTTTACATTTTATCTTTTGCTAATGTTGGATGTAATTGGGACCCTGTGTACATAATCTCATTCCACTACATGTACCACATGTGATGTGAATGACAAAGAAACTGACTCTGACTGAAGGGGTAACTGAATGAAGAAAGTGTCCTGATGCATGCTCAAGAAATGAAGAAAGCCTGTATGACATTTAGTTTGACAAAAAGAAATAAAACATTATTTCCCCCTGTCCCTTATTTATTGGTAGATTGAAAACAGAAAACATCATTTTGAGTCTAGAAATAGAGCTGCACAATGTAGGAAAAAATATTAGAGTGCTATGTGGTTGCTGAAATTTGCTGAAGAAGCTAAAAATTGAGTGGTTAAAGCTAAAAGTGGCAAAAGACTAACAAATAACTAAAGGTAGCAAAACTAGTAAATGGAATGTACTTATATAGCACCTTTCTTTCTTATTGAGACACTCAAAGCGCTTTACACAACAATCTGTGTCTTCATTGACCCATTCATACAGCATTCTACTAGATCTCTACAAAGCTAATTGAACAAATCATTCTAAAGAGATTAATCAGTGATTCATCACATTCATACACCGACGGGACACACATCGGAGACAACAAGGGGTTCAATGTCTTGCCCAGGGACACTTCGGCATGTGACTGCTGTGGGGTTCGAACCCCCAACTCTTGCATTGGAGAACGACTGCTCTAACCACTCAGCCACAGCCGCCCCGACAAGTAACATGACAAGAGCAAGCACACTGAAGCAGATTTCAAAAAGTACAATGTGTTTGAAGTATTTGAAAATATCAAAATGTATTTCTTTAAAGAAATAACTTGTAAAAACATTAAATACTTTGAAAAGTACAACCAATAAAACTAAGAACAAATGTCTTACCACCCACCTCTTGAATGTTTTGACATCGGTTCTTTGAAATACTGATATCGCACACATTTATGATGACAATATGTTTTATATTGTGCAGTCTTATTAATTTGTTTACATGATTTTATTTGGGTAACAAATATATATTTTTTACATTTCTTTTAACTGACCATACTTTCCCCTCCTGAATTTACAAAAGGGTGGGATGCCAAAGAAGCAACAAGTCATAACTGCATCAGCTGTTTTATTTTATTTATTTATTTTTTTTAAGTTGAGCATTTTGTGGACACTCTCTTGTAAAGGGCATGATTTCCTCTAAAGTGAAAATGTCACAAAGCATAAGGCAAAATTTTGAGTCAAACAACTAAATGAGAGAGAAAAAAGAAGAAAACCTTAAAATGTGATGTAACAGCTCAAATCGTTGCAGCTGTCGAATAAGCAGCAACAAAAGGAGTTTATGGAAAGTGTGTGATGACTTACTGCAGGGGCTGCTCTGATGGTACTGCAGATATGAGAAACGTAAGACAGGTGCCAGCTCGCCGTGGAGCCCAACTTTTCCTTCCTTGTTTGTTTCCTGCGCATCCACACTGAACTCTTCATCTTTCAGCTGCTGCCCTGCCTCTTCCTGGTCAGCCCAGACCACGCCTCTCTCCCTCAACACAACGTGCTCCAGTTCCTGATACTCCATCTCGTCCGCCGCTGTGGTCACCGCTGCCTCGTGCAGCGAGGAGAAGTGCCGACTGTAAGCTGGCAGCAAGATGTTCACCATTCTGCAAATACCAAAGTTCTATTGGCACATTTGAAATGAGGTGATTTTTAAAAAATACAGTTTTGGTCAACCTACTTCTGCATACGCTTGTTCTCCTGATCCTGCAGCGTAGTGAGCTCAACCATCTGCTTGATGTGCTGGTTGAGATCATTTACCTGCAGCTCCAGTCTGTGGCAATACAAGTCTTTCTCTAGCACCTGGAAAAGGTGACGTCAGAGAGCAGCGGTAAGTAATCAAAGCTTTCTGACATAATGAACTGAATAAACAAACACTAATAAACAGAATTAGATACAGGCGAGGAATCAGTAAACTAGGAAGAGGACACAAAGTTCATCCATGTTTCATCAGAAAAGCAGACTGCTCTAGGTGAGGGCAGGGAGGATACAAAAGAAAAAAAGACGTGACGTAAGGAAAACTACGAAACAACAGCAGAGAGAACATTTGACTGGTGGGTGCGTCACAGTTCTGGGTCAGTTCCTAGAAGAACAGATAAAGAAGAAAAAACATGGACATGGTTTTAGGTAACTGGCTGCTGTGTGAAGGATGAGCAAACCTATTGATTTATTCTCTTCGGTGATCCGCGAGTGAGCTGGAGAAATGAAATGAGCATGATTCTAATTACTAAGAGAACAGATGGGAAGAAAACAAAGGCAGTCACGATGCCAGTTAGGACAGCCTACCTTCCAAAATAAACAGAAGACAGTCAGCAATGAATTTTGACAAATGTGATCCACACTGTGAAGTTATTTTTTTTGGCATTTAGTCACGCCCATTAACCCTTGTACAATTCTTCACGTTCCACAGATTATCTCACAGTTAGCCATTACTGGTCAGCTGTTGAAAAACTGAAAATAGCCTGTGAGCAATCATCACCTGAGACACTGATCAGCGACACTTCATTTAAATAATTTAGATAAGCAACAATTTCAGTACCATTAAAGACGAGAAACAATATATATAGTCAGAGATTATGATCAATCTTGAACTGAGAGCACCAGGAAACAAAGAGCGTGTAAAAAGTTGTCTGTGTGACATTTAAAAAGTACAATTGTTCCTGCTGTTAAAAAAAAGGGTCACTGAGTTCCACTCACCTGTGCGCTCTGATCATTCGACTTGAGCAACTTAATCTCATTTTCAACACGATGAAGCAAACCATCATTTTCCAGGAAACGGGTATTTGTATCCTTCAAACGTTTGAAGATGTGCTGCTGCTGAGTGCGCAGGCTGGCGATCTTCCGCTCGTGTTTGCAAGTGGCCTGTTGAAAGCAGAAAAACATTCAAGGCGGCGGCGGACGGAAGGCAAAGTTTCAGTTTGTCCCATGGACAACCTGCTTGTCCTCAACTTTTACAACAAAAAGGGCAAAATATCTCAAGAAAAATGTAATTTATTAAATGTATTACACTATACACAGAGTTTGCTATATACAAATGTTCTCAGTCGGCCATCTTATGGACAGCTTGGAATTTACAAGCTACTGAGTGTGAGACTCTTCCAGGAGCTGCTGGAGTGGAACTTCCTCGTTCTCTTCCTTGACATCAGACTTTGCCAGAGAGGCACTCACAACTTATTTAGGGCCCACGGGATAAAGCAGGCAGAGAGGTGCAGCGTCGGCAGTGAAGCAGGTCTGTCGTGGTGAAGAGAGAGCTGAGTCAAAAGGCGAAGCTCTCAATATACCGTTCGATGACCTGAGTAAAAGTACACAGTATAGTGTGTAGTGAATGTTTCAGTCTTTCTCCCTCCTTAGATGCATTAATCTGTCCTCCAGCTCTAATGTTAAAAATCTTGGTGTTATTTTTGATCAGGACACGTCTTTTATCCCCCACATTAAAAACGTTACTAGAACCTCCTTCTTCC